CCCCAAAACCCCAAAACCCCAAAACCCCAAAACCCCATGAGTGGCCCATTTTGAATTTTTCGAAGATTACTGATTATCTGAATTTTTATAAGCTTGTTGTTAAATATATAGCCCCTCATAAAGAATAGATTAATCAAAAGTATTAATTACTAAAACATCTGCACAACTAAACCAGTTTTCGAGATACGACAATGGTAGACGCTACTTCAACATCAGGTTTAAACCCAAGACAATTCGCAACTCACACCTTGAACAAAGGTGCAACCTTCTGGTTCACTGGACTCTCAGGAGCTGGAAAGTCAACTCTCTCCTCAGCCATCAAGGAAAAGCTTGATACTATGTTTGCCGACACTCAAAAAGTATTCGTACTTGACGGTGATGTTATCAGAAAAGGACTCAACAAGGACCTAGGCTTCACTGCTGAAGATAGAGCTGAGAACATTAGAAGAATCTCAGAGGTCTCCAAGCTATTCGCCATGAGTGGACAGATTTGCCTCGTTGCTTTCATCTCACCATACAAGAAAGACAGAGATTTCGGAAAGAGCCTCCACAAAGACTAGGGAATTCCATTTTACGAGTGTTTCATCAATTCATCTCTTGACGTGTGCGAGAGTAGAGACGTTAAGGGTCTCTACAAGAAGGCCAGAGCAGGAGAAATCAAGAATTTCACTGGAATTTCTGATCCATACGAAGCTCCAGAGTACCCAGACCTAGATATCCACACTGATGATCTCAATCTTGAATAGAGTGTCAGCTTTGTCCTTAAGAGAATGCTAGATGACAGAATTATTGTGTCTAACACCGAAACTAAAATTGCTGATAGTCTGATTGAAGAAGACCTCAGTGAGTAGGAGAAGGTAGAGTTAGATGCTCTCAAGTACATTGAGATTGATGTAGAGCAAGCCGAGTACTTGCAAACTTTAGGCTAAGGATGGGCTGCTCCACTAGACAAATTCATGAATGAAATGCAATTACTTGAAGTCATGCACATGAAAACTCTGACTGACACTACTGGCTTCAAGCATCTTTTCTCAGTTCCAATTACACAGCACGCCACCAAAGAACAGTTCGAGCAACTCAAGTCAGAAGCAAGAATCGCTCTCAGATGCCCTAAGGTCTGCAACAATGAAGTCCTCGCAGTCATTGAGAACCCAGTTTTCTTTGACAATAGAAAAGAGGAGATCTGTGCTCGTATCTTTGGAACCTTTTCACTAAAACACCCTAAAGTCGAAAATATTATGAAATAGGGAGATTACTTAGTATCTGGATCAAGAATGAGATACGTTAAGAAGATCGTATTTAATGATGAGATGGATAGATACAGACTTACTCCCAGAGAGATTCACAACCTCATTAAGGAAAGAAATGCTGATGGAGTGTATGCCTTCCAACTTAGAAACCCTCTTCACAATGGTCACGTTTTACTTCTCAAAGATACCAGAGAATAACTTTTGAAATTAGGTTACAAGAACCCCATTCTTTTGCTACATCCACTTGGTGGTTGGGTTAAAGACGATGATGTTCCACTTATCAACAGAATGTTGCAACACTAGGCTCTTCTTGATGATGGTACTCTTGACCAAGAACATACTATTTTAGCTATTTGGCCTTCACCAATGTTCTACGCTGGTCCAACTGAAGTACTATGGCACGCCTCCTCCAGAGCTAACTGCGGAATCTCCCACTTTATCACTGGAAGAGACCCTGCTGGCCTCAAGCATCCTGAAAATGATAAAATAGATCTATATGATGTGTGGCACGGTCAGAAACTCCTAGTCCATGTGAAGTCAATGATCAACAATGTTGAGATTTGCCCCTTCAAGATTGCTGCTCTCCACAAAGCTTCAAATTCAATGCAGTTCTTTACCAAGGACTCAAAGAATGAAGACTTTGATTTTGTGTCTGGATCTAGAATGAGAGAGATGGCTAAACTCAATATTGATCCACCTCAAGGGTTCATGAGTCAAAAGGGCTGGGAAGTGCTTGCTGACTACTATAGAAAACTAGAGTAGTTATGATTTGAAAACCTATGTTCTGAGTGACTCTGAAACTCAGATCATACCTATAAATTCTTAAATTTAACTGTATCTGTGGTTAATATCTTAATTATATTAAAAGATTCATAGCCAATTAGTATCTTTACTAGATTTCCTGAAGGATGGGGTTTTGGGGTTTTGGGGTTTTGGGGTTTTGGGG